TCTCTCTCTCTCTCTCTCTCTCTCTCTCTCTCTCTCTCTCTCTCTCTCTCTCTCTCTCTCTCTTCGCCTGACCTGTTTCCTCCCTCCTTACTCCACCCGGCTTCCACCCTCCCTCCTCCCTCCCTTTGCCCCGGCCTCCGCCCGAGTTCTCTCTGCTGCCTTTCCCCTTCATTTCAGCCTCCTCCTGACCTCGTCCTCCCTTCAACGTCCCTGCGCCCGACCCCCCCCCCCTCCCATGTCTTCTTCCGCCCAATCTCCACCTGACTTCTGTCTCCCCCATCTCCTCCTTCCCAGTCTCGTGATCTACACCTTCGCCTGACCTCCTCCCTTCCCTTGCTTCCTGCGCATCCTCCACCTGATCTACTCCCTCCATTCCTCCCTCCAGCCCAACTCCTGCCTCCCTCCGATGACCAGGGATGCGAATAACATATGACGGCCCATCCGGTTCATCCCCAACAACATCTAGGACCTCCCATGGTCCAAAGTACTGTGGCATGAGCTTGCGGGAGATCACGTGCTCCTGTCCCAGTTCTGCGGACTTAACCCAGACTCTCTCCCCTACCTGAAATGTAGATGGGCAGCGGTGCTTGTTCTCAGAGTCTATCATCGCCGCCTGTGCCTTGTGCATCTGTTCAATAGCCTGCTACATCAGACGTGCATATCGATAAGCGAACTCTAAGGTTCCTGGTGTAGGCGAAGGCTGGTTCTCAGGTAGTAGGAAATCCAAGGGCATTCTAGGCTTGAAGGTCAGTAGCAGGCTGTTCGGGCTCACTCCCGTTGCGCTGTGCACTGCTTTGTTGTACAGGCTGGCGATGAGAGCAAGTTTCTCATCCCAGTCTCCCTGATTTGGCTTGATGTAATGCCTCAGCAGGTGTTGTACRGCACGGTTCAACTGCTCTGCTTGCCCATTCGCCTCTGGATGGTTCCCTGATGTCATCTGCAGCTGCGTTCCCTCTTCTGCAGCTGCGGCTTTCCACAGTTCACTGGTAAATCGTACATCACGGTCACTAACTTTAGATTTTGGCAGTCCAAAATCTCTTACCCGGTTCTCTTTGAACAATTTAATCACATACTCTGTCTTAGCTGTTGCAGGCATTGCGACCAACCTAGCGTACTTACTAAACCTATCCACAGTGACATAGACATAGCACATTCCACTTTTGCTGGTGACCAGTGAAGTCCATGGACAGGCTCTCACCAGGCCTTTTCGAAATAGGAAGGGGCTTCAAAAGCCCAAGAGGAGCCTGTGTTCGTGGCTTGTCCCTCTGACAAACCTGACAAGTCTCCACGTACAGTTGGGCGTCTTTCATCATTGTGGGTCACCAGAACCTCTGCAGCGAATTGGCTGCAGTCTTTTTATAGCCAAAATGTCCGGTGGCATCATGACATTCTCCTAGAAATAAACTACGCAAAGACTCCCAATTAGGTACACACAAACGTTTATTCCCAACCTTTTCAAGAAACAGCAGGCCGTTAACCAACTCAAACTCGGCTGAAGTCACCTTGTCCTTCGCCTCGAGTCTGCGTATGATCTCGGCCATGAACTGGTCCTTGCGATAGGCCTCCACCAAAGAGCGAGTGACATCATCCGCTAGCCCGAACTCAGTGATCAGCGCACCAGAGAAACCAGGCCTACGCGATAAGGCATCAGCAGCTTTGTTGTACTCCCTTTTCAGATACTGCGGTTCGAAGTCATACTGTTCAATGACTTCGATCCAACGCTTCAATGCATCGGAGAGCACCGGCTGGGTTCTCATCCGTTTCAGGGTTTGATGATCAGTCATGACGATGAAGAACCTCCTAAGGAAATAATGTCTCCAATGGGTAAGTGCCTTATAAATCACAAAGAGCTCCTCGTAGGTGGACTTAGCCAACTTCTGAGAGGGCATCTTTTTGGACATGTACTCGACTGACCTCAACTTTGGCCCCTCCTACTGTGCGAGCACGACGCCTATGCCATATTGGCTAGCATCCGTGGTTACTATAAACGGCTTGTCAGGATCAGGAAGTTTCAAGACCTCAGGATGCGTCAGTGCATGCTTCAGATGTCTGAAAGCAGCCTCGCATCCGTTTGTCCACTCCCATGGGGTGTGGGGTGTCAAGGCGAGTCAGGTCCGTCAAAGGAGCGGCAACTATGTTATAGACTTATAGTTCTTCGCAAAATTGCGATAGTAGTCGATCATCCCTAAGAAAGGACCTCATCTCAGTCACAGACTGAGGATGCGGCCAGTCACGAATGATGGCCACCTTCGCGTCATCGGGCTTCAATCCCTCTGCGGAAATCTCATGACCCAAGTACAAGATACGAGTGCGGCCAAACTCACACTTCTCGCCTTTGATCTTGAACTTGTGCTGCCTGAGGAGACTATGGACTTTGTCTAAGTGGGCTACATGCTCCTCGACAGTCCTACCGAAGATAAGTATGTCATGGAGGTACACGATGACAAACTTGTCCAAGTAGTCATGAAAGATCATGTTCATCGCGTGCTGAAAGGTGCCAGGAGCATTGCAAAGGCCGAAAGGCATCACCACAAACTCGTACAGACCGTACCTGGTCTGAAATGCAATTTTGTGTTGATCCTCGGCCCGTATTGCAATTTCATGGTACCCAGGCTTCAAATCTATCTTACTGAAGTACCGACACCCTTGCACCCGGTCCAGCAAGTCGTCGATGTGAGATAGGGGCTCTCTATTATTGACAGTGATGGCATTGAGGCCCCTATAATCAATGCACATCCTCAGAGTCCCCCCCTTCTTTGGTACGAATAGGACTGGAGATCCATAAGGGGAGACACTCGGTCGGACTCAACCCTTCTCTACGAGTTCCTTGAGTTGCCCGGCGAAGCTTATCAAGCTCGCCTGGAGACATCCGATAGACCCTACCCTTCGGGATGCTAAACCCTGGGATAATCTCTATCGCGTGGACGACCTCCCTCTCGACAACCCCTTTTGGCTCTTCGAATAAATCAGGGTATTTAGCGACTACTCCCTCTATCTCCGACGACATTTTCACCGCCTTGCCTGCGGCAAAGACATAGACTAGATACATACCATCCTCCGGATTTTGCTTATAATAGTTGTAAAACGCGGCCGCACACATTCAACCATAGGACTCGATCAGACTACTAGCCTTAAACTTACGTAATTTGGCAGTCCCACCACCGAGCAAAATGTGCTTGACCACTTTTCGGTCCCAGTCAAACTGGGGTTGTGCAACCGAGAGGTAGTACATACCTAACAAGATATCCATAGGGAGATCATCACTAACTAGGAACGAGACGTGATGTCTCAGTTCCCCTCTCGCGTACGGGAAACAACACTCAATGTCCTGACGGTAGTTGTGGACTACCATGCGCTGTTTGTTGGCACAAGTCGACTCCACAGGTCGACTCAGGCACTACACTTGCCCCTGTAAGCGCAGCCTCTCAAGGCACGCGCGACTAATGAAGTTCCGAGTCGAGCAAGTGTCATAATAGGCCCCGGCCTTACGGCCGCCGATGACTACCTCGCCGACGAACATCTCACTCTTAGGGGATTTAGCCAATGCCGTCCAAGAAGCTAGAGGGTCTGATTTGGACCACTCTAAGGACTCAAACACATTCATCGAACAGAGGCTCGATGGGTCTGAATGTGTTTGCGGGACGACAATGGAGTCAGTAGCTTGGGTCATCTCCCGAGATGGTGAGGGTGTGTCCATCACCTCGACCCTAGCAGGAACAACTACTATTCCTACTGACCCGACGCGTTTCCCGGAGCAGTCCCAAAACTACTGGCCACGTTGCTACCTACAGGAGCGGAGGATCCCAACGCTTGCCAGTAGGAGGAGCATTGCGGTCAACTTGACTCCTAGACCGGGAGCCTCCCATATTGGCCAAAACAGATACAAGCTTGTCGGGTGCACCGGTCTCTCCACACGTTTCTCCTATGGAGGAGCGTTGGGTCAACTTGACTCCTAGACCGGGAGCCTCCATGGCGTCTACCAGTCGCCTTACCTTTTTGTATTGAGGCAGCGACTACTCCACCCCCTAAAGTTTCTACGCTGCCTGCCTCTGAACCTACTCCCGCCAGGAAGTTGTCTTCCAACTAGATGGTTGAACCAGCGTTGTCGACGAACATAATGCGGCCCTTCACCTTCCAATTGGGAGGCGGCGACTTTTTCCTACCATCCGTGGTGGGTGTTTGTCCATGCCCTATCTTTGCCTCCAGGTCTAGGGCCTTCTTGCTAAACGAGGGGAAGTTGTGCATGTTGATGTTGGCCTCACCTGCCAACTGATTCCTGAGAGGCATAGGAAAACATCTCAGGTAGGAGGTGAGTAAGACCTGGGGGTCATAACGCACCCAAGGGACACAGATCAGACGCTCTACTGCGTCTGTGGCTTCTCTTACTGACTGGAACTGCCTATGGTTCAGAGTCAAGATCGCATCAGTGGCCTTTTGGGCCCTCTGAGGATCATGCCACCTTTCTTCCACCAACTTAAGGAAGTCATCGAATTTCCGGTTGACCGCCCAAGCGCGGAAGTCATGACTGTATCCCTGTAACTGCACCAAACCAGTCAACCCTCTTGCTGCACTACCCTCTAAATACGAGGCAGCCACAAACACTTCCTCGTGCGGCAAGGTCAGTTTACACTTTACATAGACTGGCATTGACCTCAACCAGGTGTCGAGGTCTTCACCCCTCTTGTCCCCTAAAAAAGGTTTGGGAGAGGCGATGGCTGCCTTTGGAACCCACTGAGTTTGTCCCGGTACCTGCACCCTTTCGGGTTGTGGACCCTGAGGCGCAGGCTGCTGGACTAGCTGCTGCTAGGGCTGTGTACCCTGCGGCTGTGCAGGCTGCGAGACAATAGGCTGCCCACTTACGACAACCTGCGACGGAGGTTGGGAAAACATTGTTTGTACAGGAACCTGTACACTAGGACCTGCTGAGAACCCTCCTGTCAAGGTCATGCCTAGGGAAACGACTTGGGCCGATGCTGGAGTGGCATATGGGGATACCCCAGTCACCGGTGGGACAAAAGGAGGAGGCTGTACAACGGGTCAGGCACCAGGCCCGGACGGCGATGGAGCTGCCTGCGCTCGCCCGACCAACACGGCCAGACTCTGTTGGATGTCCTGTAAGAGACTCGTCTGGTGGTCCTGCATTTCCACTACATCTAGCAGGACTGCACGCAGGGTCCTCACATCATCATCCATGCATGTCAGATCCATCCCCTCTAACTCACTAACGTCCGCTTGTCTCCGCTGCATCCTGGGTCTTCTTCTAATCATCTTCTCTTTCTTTGCCTTAATCTCTCCTAGCGCTTGTTGTAGTTGTGCCTTGCGAATAGCTGCTCGTTGTATGGCGACCTCCTCGCACTAGCCTGAGAGCTCCTAACACTATTGACTGGCTTGCCATGACGCTAGTGGATTGACCCAGGGTCTGCGTGACCGTTGACCCTACAGAACTTGACCCACTAGCCAGAGAGCTCTGCTGCGCAGCAGATGCCATTGCTGCTGAAGTAGCGGCCTCGCTTACGAATGCCCTGCTTGCCTCTGCGGCCCTAGCCCTCCACTGTTGCTGCTGTCTCTCCCTCTGCTGGCGGAACAGATATCTCTCGCCCTCTGGTCCTAATGCCAAGTCGGCTATCGGGCGTCTCGCTGGTCGCAAGATCTGGTCGTCCTCTTAAGGTTCCTCCCCGTCGCTCATAGGCTACAACACTGTACACTGCCTACACTAGGTCACTCTTGATGACTACCGCAGCATAATGTACAGACCGATTTAAAATAAATAAAATAAATAATTGATGGTTGTGTCAAAGACTAACATTTTAGTCCAACAGGAAGTTCAGATTCCTACAAACGAAACTACTTTGACTTTGACTAGTTCGCAAACAGAAAGCACAATGAACAATGAACAGTTCTAACTATGCTGTCTGTCAGATGTTAATGGTTGTACATCTAACTAATTAAAATGAAAATAGAATCATTTGTTGGGTTTGTTTGC